AGATGAATAATTTGTTTATGAATTCATCATATTTCACAATCCAGAATTAGTCGATTTCTTGCCCCCGAGACTCCACAGTACTGAAATTTTCATAGGATTTTGGAATTATTCACTAACAGATTACGTATCCTTACAGCAGGATTAATTTCCACACAAAGGGCTTGGATCACAGGTACCGGATCCGGACTTGAGAACAGAGAAACGATGGAATTTCTCAAAGAGAAATTTAGAAAATTTTCTTAAAAAATAGAAATTTAGAAAATAAATATTAGAAAATAAACCAGTTGAGGTTCTATAGAATGCTATTATTCTGTTAAATGAAGGCACAGATTTCCACAGGCTTTGAATCAAAGTAGGTTTTTAAATCTTGGACGTGTGTTGTGAGAAGTGAGGTAGGGGATACGTATAAATACACTGGGTTTTATTTACCTCAGCCCATTCTGTGGAACCCAATAATCCAAATTCTTCTGCATCCCAGCTAGCAAAAATAATAGTTCGCCTTGGTCTCCAACCTGCAATCACAGAGTTCAACTTGAAAATTCAGCTTCAAGTTCGAAACTCAACTTAGAGTTAGAAAGTCCAGCGACAGATCACCGTGGTTAAATGAAATAACTTTTAAAAAATAGCAATTAATTGGTATTGCAGTGAAAAAAACCCACCTCTGTGAACTCCTTAGAGGAACATATTACTGCAGAGGCATTTCTTAACACAGTATTTTCAGTCCACACAGTTAAGAGGGTATGACACTGAGAAGAGACTTGAGGGGATAAATTCAGCTGACTGAATATGCATCTCTTCAATGAATTTACCTCTTTCTTAATGAAAGGGAAGTTATTTATTCCTACTTTATTCATTCTCACCTGTAGAGGTGAAAAGTTAAATCAACACAATCTTTTATAGGGACATCCAACACCGTTCCTCAAAGCTGCTGTTTTCCATATCCATTATTTTATGTCTGTAGTAAGTTATAATAACTGTAACGTCTGAAATAAGTTAATAATAACCCCATCCCGCGCTACATCACAAAAAGTGTGGCCAGCAGGGCCAGGGAGGGGGATTCTGCCCCTCTGCTCTACTCTGCTCTGCTCAGACCCCACCTGCAGGACTGTGTCCAGCTTTGGAGTCCTCAACACAAAAAGGACATGGAAGTGCTGGAGCAGGGCCAGAGGAGGCCACAAAGATGATCCAAGGGCTGGAGCAGCTCTGCTATGGGGACAGGCTGAGAGAGTTGGGGTTGTTCAGCCTGGAGAAAAGAAGAGAAGGCTGCGGGGGGACCTTATAGCAACCTTCCAGGACCTGAAAGGTGCCTATAAGAAAGCTGGGGAAGAGCTGTTCACTGGACCATGGAGCGACAGGATGAGGGGAATGGTTTTAAACTGGAAAAGGGCAGATTTAGGTTGGATATGAGGAAAAAGCTCTTCCCCATGAGGTGGTAGATCAGTGGCCCAGGTTGCCCAGAGAGGTGGTGCAGGCCCCATCCCTGGAGATATTCAAGGCCAGGCTTGATGGGGCTGTGAGCAACCTGATCTGGTGCCAATGTCCCTGCTGACTGCAGGGGCTGGACTGGATTAAGGGACCCTTCCAACTCAACACATGCTGTGATTCAGTGGTTCTGTAACTTACCTTCCATCTTCATTTTACCAAAACTCCGTACGACCTCTTGCAGAACAGCCGCACCTGTGGTTGGGTCGATGCCACCAAACACCCACGAGTCTCTATGACCTCCTAAAATAACGTATCTGTCTGGAAACGAGCACACCACATCAATCCTTAATTAAACACGCATTTAGGTCACCTGCATTTCCTTGGATTGCATCCTTACTTGTGTCAAACAAAATATGAAGTTCAATACCCGTGCTACAAATTCATTTTTAAGGTAATGTGCGATGAATCACTTCTATACTGAAGTATAGAAATAAAGACAAGAAAGATTTAATACATATTTTTCCACTTAAAAGCCTTTCATGTATATATCCTGCTACCTAAGTATTAACAGTAGTAAGCTGAGGTCCAAATCATCACTTGTTTTTTTGTACTTCGCATTGTGTTAATTTTTTGCAACGGCAAAATAGATGAATGATGGAAGAGGAAATGTACTGCAAAATGAGAGGTGTAATAAAAACCGACAAATTCTCTGATATTTATCATTCTGGCATTCTCATTCAAATACATTCTTGGAAATGCCAATGAAAAACAAGTTTATTGCAATATGAGAATAATAAAAGACGAGGCGATGTCGTGCTTAGGGACATGGTGTAGTGTTGGAGTTAGGGCTGGTTCAATGGTTGGACTTGATGACCTTAAAGGTCTTTTCCAACTGAAACCATTCTGTGATTCTAATTTCACCAACCACAAAATAAAGAAGAAATTCAAATTCAAATTCAAAATTAACATTAACATTAAAATTAAAATCTAAAATTAAAATTAAGATTTAAAATTAAAATTAAGATTTAAAATTTAAAATTAAAATCACCTGGTGCTCACCTGGTTCCACAGCTCCTCTGAGGATGCCAATGACGTTGTAAATTCGCGTTATTTTATTGATTGTGTGGACGTGCATCCTGACTTTTCTGAAATGAAAAGCAGCATGGAGTGACCATTTCTGGCTGAGAAAGCAATAAAAAAAAATATTCTAATATCCCGTAAGCCACAACATTTCTGCTTCTGATCTGTTTTGTGTGCTCAGCGCTGATTTAACCTGTTGTGTTGTATGTGTCCCATTCCTTATTGCAGGTTATTCTGCTGACAGAAAGGTGCTTTAGAAACAACCTTACAAAATGGACCAATCTAGAAACTTCCAAATATTTACAGAATTTATTGAACTGCTATTTATGGAAGTCAATCAGGTAAGTGGATATTAGAGGAGTAAACTGAAAAGCCTATGCAGTAATTCAAATTTACATTTAATTTACATGTACATTTTAACAAATTTTACATTTGCATTTTGACCAAAATGATAATTGTGGATCTATATCTTTTTATAAATAATGCACTTTGGTTTTCTAGCACAGTTCTGTGTAATAAGGTCGAATTTGGAGAGAAGATGATTAGAAATATTCATCCAGGAATAAATTGAAGTCTGCTTAGGACAGCAAACCCAAGTGACCAAGATTTGTCAATCCTCCCTCCATTTGTGAAATTTTATAAAAAGGAAAGAAATTCAGGTATAAGGAGAGCTAAAAATGTTGTATTCAAACCCTCTTAACCTGGAGAAGAAACAAAGCATCAAACAGTGCTTTTTTAGTGTCTGGCAGAGCTCTAAGAGTTTGCATTTGAAGTAATTTTCTCAGCAGCAAATCTCACTGCTGCTCTTCAAGACATCCCAAAAAGCATCTTAATTATGTTACATATACTTTCTGATTTATTTATTCCTACTTTATTCATTTTCAGCTAATCTTAGAGCAGAAAAGAGTAATGATCAATGAAGTTTTATAGACGTATACATTCAGATGTACTCTTGTTCTGTGGGAGGTGGAGCAGGGAGAGTGATACCCTATTTTTACACACTGTTCATTGCGGTCCACTTCCAGTCCTCATAGAATAATATCTCATGTAAATAAATATCTATCTTATGTAAATAGATATCTCATATCTTTGTATCAGCAATGGAGTGGGCAGCAGGAGCAGGGCAGGGATCCTTCCCCTGTGCTGGGCACTGGTGAGGCCGCCCCTCAAATCCTGTGTTCAGTTTTGGGCCCCTGACTCCCAGAAGGACATTGAGGGGCTGGAGCATGGCCAGAGGAGGGCAAGGGAGCTGGGGAGGGGTCTGGATCACACGAATGATGGGGAGTGGCTGAGGGAGCTGGGGTTTCAACTGAAGAAGAGGAGGTGAGGGGAGACCTTATCCCCTCTACAGCTCCTGAAAGGAGGAGGGGGAAGCGAGGTGAGTGTTGATCTCTTCTCCCATGTAACCAGTGATAGGACAAGGGGAAATGGCCTCAAGTTGCACCAGGGAAGGGTTAGATTGGATATTGGGAAAAATTTCTCTACTGCAAGAGTGGTCAAGCAGTGGAAGGGGCTGCCCAGGGAGGTGGTGGAGTCCCCATCCCTGCAGGGGTTCAAGAAGTGGTGGATGTGGCACTTGGGGCCATGGTTTAGTGGGCACGGTGGGGTTGGGTTGATGGTTGGACTTAATGATCTTGGAGGTCTCTTCCAGCCTTAATGATTCTGTCATTCTGTAAATTGAAAGTATTTTTATAGGAAAAACTGGCAACCCTGGGAGGCTTCCAGTGGACAAGGGAAACGTACGTAGAAGAGAAATACTGAATTGTCAGTCCTTCTGCAATGGTACAAGCTGTTCTGTTGTCCCCTTGGCCATCAGAAACAGAACAGAAAGATCAAATTGAAGTGCGGAGGACGTTCAGGGTTAATTCAACAGTAATGTGAAGTGTCTACTTGCTGCTGTACAGCCAGTTTTGAAAGGACCAGTGAAACACCTTAAAGAAAGGATTAAAGTTGGGATGACAGGGCTGGCCCTGCATCCTCTGAATCTGTCCATTGACGCTGGGCACACTGAGCAAAACCAGTTCTGATAATTTATTTTCAAACGTTAATAGTTCCCAGCAAGTAACTATTACTTAAGTAACACTTGAGTAATTACTTGAGTAATTACTTGAGTTGCCCACTCAGCAGGAGGTACATTTGTCTAGAATCGCTCTAGATTTATTGTTTCAAAGTCTTTTTCTTATCGGTATTTTATTTTTGGTAATATTTTCTAAATAGGCACGTGTAAAAAAACAGACCTTGTAGAGGTGTTTCCTGCAAATCCTGGCCCTATGTTATACGACACATTGAGACTTCCCTTCCAGCTGTTGTCGGGAGCTGCAGCTCCTCCCATTGTGCTGTGAGGTGAAAACCAAGACAAATATTGTTATCCAGTAAGTTACAACCTTAATTTTCCTTAATGATTCCCTTAAAAAGAGGTGGGTTTACTAAATTCTTAAATATGTTATGCCAGAAACAAATGGTTTGGAGTTTTCCACATTTTATCATCTTAGCATAAAACAGATTTGCTGCACATTGGGAACACTGACTTCTGATGAGAAGGACCTGATGTATACTCACCGTAATAATATTTCCGCATCATGATATCCAATGGGATGAACTGGGATTTTGGGCATCCCTACACCTTCATTAACTTTGTACCTGAAAGTGTACTCTGAGAGAACAGGAAAATGTCACATTTACAGCGTTCTCAGTAAACTCAACCCAACTGGAAACATTTTTGAACAGTGCAGCCGCAAGCAAGCATTAGTTTTTCAATTCTTACATAAATTTCTTAGACATTGCTTCTAGGAAACCACAACATACTCCTGCAAAGAGGATTTTTAATCTGTTTTTTTTTTCCACTTGGAATTTAGGATCAGCAGGGAAATGTACCTCCAAGCAAAGCTATTTCTGCTCTTTGATGGTAGACTCTAATTTAGTTTAAAGTGGTCCTGTTGAGAAACACAGATATTTTAAAATATCCATAAATTCTCAGGCATTTTCTGCTGCTTCACAGTGTGTAAACATGTCCTGCTTTTCTAAGAGTTCCAATGCTGGGATGATCATACAAAGAGATTTTCCTAACTCCAAAGCAACCAGCTGAAATGCCACGTACTGAGCTTATACCAGAATAGGAAAATTAACCACTGCTAAAAGCAATTTTAAGCAACTTTTTCCATTCCATCCTCACTGAAAATAGATGAATTTCTGGCGCCACAATAAATATCAGCACAGGTTTATAAAGACGGCCCAGGGTACAGATATTTTACTCACCTTTCGCAGGATAACCTGGTGTCAGAGGATCCCCTGCCCCATTCAGGTTTAATACATTTCCACGCTGGGCTCCTCCACCCGGAAGATTCCAGCCATCGGGATAAGCCTTTACTCCTGGGGCACAGTAGTCAGCAGGGTCTGAATAAAGTATAATCCCTTGGGCGCCTGCTAATATGGCATTTTTAACCTGTGAAATGTTGTGGTTTAAGGAAATGCTTTTAATGTTTTCTTTCTTTAACGCAGTAATTAATTTTAATAGCAGTAATTAATTTTAATGCAGCAAATCCTGCCGGGTCTACCATGAAAAGTGTCTGACCCACAGAGGAGAAAAATAAACCACGGCCCTTACTTTGTTTCCTCTGAAGATCTTCCCGTATCTGGCAATCACAATCTTTCCTGTGCAGTTAATTCCCATTTCACGCTCCAGCTTGAAAAAATCTTCGGTGCGGCCATAATTCACATATACCAGGTCCGCCTGCAGAGAAAAGAAAAGAAGTCTATGGCAATTGGTCAGTCGACAAACAAAATATCTATGTTCAAATATACTCAGCAGTATTCACTATGTATGACACAATTCTTTGCATGTCTACAAATGAGATCCAGCGTCCATAAAAAGAATAGCAAAAGATATTCTATAGGAAGCCTTGGCTCAAACTGCTGAGCTGATATTATATATCATATATCACATATAACTTATCATATATCATATATAACATATAACATATCATATATCATATAAATCATTATATATTAATTATCATATGTTACATGTTATATATTATATACTATATTATATATA